GAGCGGTCCCCATAAGGATATGTTTACCCTACATGTGTGTGTGTGTGTGTACGCGTGTGCCTGTGTGTGTGCATGCATGAGTGTGCGTGTGTGTGTGTGTGTGCTCTCTTATATCTGTAATCCTTTTATCCCCTTTATTATTTTTCTTTTCCCACCTCCTCGTCCTCTTCCTCTGCTCCTGTTGTCTTCCACCATCCTCTCTTTCTGAGATCTTCCGAGTAGCAGCAGAGCACTTTGGTGATACTACATGTTGCTCTGCTACTGTGACTGCAGGTTTTATGGCCAGCAGCTCGTGGGCTTGAAGATCACTGAGGTTTCGAATGTCCAACATTTGAGAATCTCAGCGATGTGCTGATATTTTGGGGTAATGGCGCTGTCTCTGTCGGCCTCTTTTTGTGGGCAGGGTAGGGCTGCCGGGCTGGGCTGCTCTCTCCGTATGCGTGCTCTTGGTGTTTGCACCAGATCATCTGGCAAGATGAGCTCCACATGTTTTTCTGCTTTTTAATGGGTGTAATTTCCAGTGCAGATCTCACTGGGTGTGATTTCTGAGCTTCCCAGTGCTGCTGTGTGTTGCCAGTGCATTATTTTTGAAGTGAACACGCTTCAAACACGACCGTTTCCCCTCTGGTGCCAAATCGAAAGGGCTCAGCATACTTTCACAAAATGATTACATATTAACGCTAAAGGCATGGAGGATGATGACGACAGCAGCACTTACTTGTTTTTCACTACGGCAGGCCTGCAATAAACCAGTATTTAATGATTGGAAAGGAATTGGGGGAAATATAACATTTATTTTAGCAGATGCTTTCGAAAGTGACAAAATTGAGAAGGCAGGGTCAGTTGGGGGTTAAGGGCCTTGTTCAGGGGCCCAACGGTGACATCACTCTGCTGACCCTGGGATTTGAACTGCCGACCTTTTCATCACAGGCCCTCAGGCTCCTGTATCTGAGCCCCCCCCCCCCCCACCTATGCCCTCTCCAGGCGGTTGAGCGGGAACAAGTAGACAGCATTCAGCCCCGGCTGCAGCAGGTAAACGCCGTGGGCCAGGGCCTGATCCAGAGTGCGGCCAAGGACACAGACACGCAGGCACTGGAGCACGACCTGGATGCCACCAACCTGCGCTGGAACTCTCTCAACAAACGGGTGCGTATGGGTGTGGGGGTGCGGGTGTGGGGGTGCGTGTGGGTGCCAGTGTGTGTGTTTCCAATGATACATCCGGCCGCCACACACATATGACTCTCAGTGTGCTTGCCCACAGGTGGCGGAGCGCATCGCACAGCTGCAGGAGGCCCTGTTGCATTGTGGGAAGTTCCAGGATGCCCTCGAGCCCCTGCTAAGCTGGCTCAGTGACACGGAGGACCTCATAGCGAATCAGAAGCCTCCGTCAGCCGAGTACAGGGTGGTCAAGGCTCAGATACAGGAGCAGAAGGTGAGTGAGGAAGCAGGGTGCAGGAAGTGAAGCAAGCAGTGCAGGGTACAGGAACCGGGGAAAACGGGAAGTGAGGTAAGCAGTCCAGGGTTCAGGAAGTGGGGAAAGTGGGAAGTGAGGTGAGCAGTGCAGGGTACAGGAAGTGGGGAAAGCAGGAAGTGAGGTAAGCAGTGCAGGGTACAGAATGTGGGGAAAGCAGGAAGTAGGCACTGGAAATGGAACGAGCTGGGCCAATGTTTGAGTTCTCTTACCTGTTTAATACTGGCCAGTAGCAGGATACCGAGTACTGATGCAGAAAGTCACTTATCCAGGTGTTTGCTTTGTGTTTTTGTGATTATGATTTTATATTGTCTTGAGATTGTAAACCGCCACCACCCCCCCCCCCCCACACACACACCCAGCTGTTACAGCGACTCCTGGATGACCGGCGGGGCACAGTGGAGATGATTCAAGCCGAGGGGGAGCGCATNCCCCCCGTTTGGGGCTTATTCCAGGCCCTGCGGGGGTTAGACTGTGCGCTGTTCCTTCACAGCACCCCTGTATGAGCAGAGCCGTATCCCCTCAGTGTTAGCGACATATGCTACTTATCGTGTGTGTGCATGTCATTCATCTAACACATTATATTGTTTCTGCACTCCTATCCCTGTAACTACCCTGCCCTCCATTCTCCCCCCACCCCCTCTGCAAAACCTCCTGCTCCCTGCACCACATGCCTTCGACATGCCCCCCTTTGCACCCCCTGCCCCCCCACCCCCCCCCCCCCCCCCCCCCCCACACACACACCCAGCTGTTACAGCGACTCCTGGATGACCGGCGGGGCACAGTGGAGATGATTCAAGCCGAGGGGGAGCGCATCGCCGCTACCGCCGAACCTCATGACCAGGACAAGATCCGCAAACAGCTGGAGAGCCTAGGAGAGAGGTGGAGCAGGCTGCTGGACAAGGCCGGCGCTCGGTACGCTCATTGGCCATTGCGTGTGTGTGCACAGGTATATGCTCCTACCCACCTGAGATCCCATCTGACCTGTCTCTCCGCGACGGCCCTGCAGGCAGCGGCAGCTGGAAGAGCTGCAGGTCCTGGCACTGCAGTTCCATGAGGCTGCGGAGCCGCTGGGGGAGTGGCTGAATGCCACCGAGCGACGCCTCAACACCGCTGAGCCCATGGGCACCCAGACCGCTAAGATCACTCAACAGATCGTGCGCCACAAGGTACTTGCCCCCTGGAGGACAGCAGCGGTATGACAGGCTCCAGTTTAAACATGTCTGAGAAGAGAGGTGTTACCCACCATTAAGCAGTCACCCTGTGGGGAGTGTACAAAATCATGGGGGTGTCCACTGCCCTGGGGGGAGGGGAGGGTGCGCAGTCAGCTTTCACTACTACGCTTACAGGGGTCAGCTAGTGTCATAAGACCCGCGTGAGCTACAAAGCAGGACTGAGGTACATGTCCCGTGTGGAGGGCCTTCCACCGAGCGTACCTTCAGCCATCACCCCCACCCAGCCAGCCTGCCTTACCCCCTCCCTCCCCCCCATTTCCTGTTGGTCCTGCTTGCAATACGTCATGTTTCCTTTATAGTTGTCCTGGAACATGCCCGCTGTGGTAACCTCATTATGTCCTGTAATTGGCCATGATAAGCCGGTTATTTCATTTGTTTTATGAGTTTTTATGTTTTATGAGCTTATGTTATGCGTTTGTCTTGCTCTTCCTTTTTAGCCCATATCTTTATGTTATTACTGTGATTTTATTTATGATTTGCCATCTGCATGATCCATCTTTTATGTTCTTCTCCCCTGCACTCCTGATTTCCCACCCCATCATCCTATTCCCACCCACTTCCATTGCCTCGCCACTCGGGGGCACTGTCCCGCCCCACTCCCAGGCCCTCCACGAGGAGGTGCTTTCCAGGGAGGCCGAGATGAATGGGCTGGAGGCCCTGGGGGCGGCACTGGGCCCGCTGAGTTGCCGGGCGGACCGCGAGTGGCTGGCGGAGCGCGTGGGGGCGGCGCGGGGGGGCCACAGCGAGCTGCTGGAGCGCTGTGAGCGCCGCGCCGCCCTGCTGGAGCAAGCGCTGGCCAACGCGCGGCTCTTCGGCGAGGAGGAGGTGGAGGTGCTCAACTGGCTGGCGGAGGTGGCACAGAGGCTGGCGGAGGTGGAAGTGCAGGGCTACCAGCCCGAGCAGCTGGGAGAGCTGCACAAATACACCCTGGTACGGGGAGCGTGCACGTGCAAGCATGTATGCGTGTGTGACAAGCAGCGGGGGGTGTACATGCGTCCCACTGCAGGATCAGCTCTCTTCATATGGGCTACTTGAGGCAGGAGCGAGTGGGCCAGCTGTAGGGGGTGATTTAGGCTACGTTCACACTGCCATGCTGAAGTGACTCAAATCGGATTTTTTGCCTTAATGTGACAAAAATCTGATCTTTTCAGGGCTGTGTGGACACGCAAATCTGATCTTTTCAGATCGGATATATATCCGATTTGCAGCCATGCGACCTGAATGTGACGCTCAGATCGGAATTCATGTGGCTTTTTGCTTATACGCATGCGCTGACATCATCAGCCTGCGCCGGCAGCGCAGGAAGGTAAAAATGGAGGAGAGCTGCGATAACAGTCAGTGGAAGGATGGAGAAGTTGAGGATTTAACTGATATTTGGGGAAATGAATCTGTTCAAGCTAAACTGGAAGGAACCTATCGTAATAGAGTAGTATTTTCAATATAAGAAATGGCACAGCGCGGACACGAACGTGGCTACAATGCCAAAGAAAAATACAGAGCCTGAAGTCAAAGTTTAAAGAGGCAAAAGACTTGAATCAGCGCAGCGGTCATGGCCGCACAACGTGCCAATTTTACGACCAGCTTTTTACCCGTGGAAAAACGTATCAATGTGCGCATGCGTGACGTTTCAGAGGACCGATGCGTTCACATTACAGTCAGATACAGGTCACTTGTGCTTATGAATGTGAACCGTCAAGATAGACAAATCCGATCTGAGCAAAAAATCGGAATTGATTGATGGGGCTGGCAGTGTGAACGTAGCCATAGAGAGAATCTACCCTGCAGGGATGTGTGTCCCATAAGGCCATTTGTGTTCCCACCTCTCCAACAGTCACTGAATGAGGAGATCCTGAGCAGGAAAAAGACGGTCGACCAGGCCATTAAGAATGGACAGGCTCTGCTGAAGCAGACCACAGGTATGGACCTCTTCAGCCCCAACATGTGACTGCACCGCTATGGGTGTTTATCAGACTCCAGCACAGTTGGATTGATTTAAGTTTCAGTAGTTTTATATCGTCACTTAAAGAGGGAAGTGGTCTCTCTACAACTGAATTGTTAGCTTACCTGCCATTAAACTGGATTATGTCACATCTTCACTGGAGTTTTCCCTCACCTGTGCTGCCGTTACCTGTACCTCCCTGACCTGTCCATCCGTTACCTGTACCTCCCTCACCTGTCCATCCGTTACCTGTACCTCCCTGACCTGTCCATCCGTTACCTGTACCTCCCTCACCTGTCCATCCGTTACCTGTACCTCCCTGACCTGTCCATCCGTTACCTGTACCTCCCTCACCTGTCCATCCGTTACCTGTACCTCCCTCACCTGTGCTGCCGTTACATGTACCTTGGCTTAGGTGAGGAGGTTCTGCTGATCCAAGAGAAGCTGGATGGGATCAAGAGTCGTTATGCTGAGATGACTGCTGGCAGCAGTAAGGCCCTCCGGACCCTTGAGCAGGCCCTGCAGCTGGCAACGCGATTCGCCACCGCCCATGAAGACATCAGCCAATGGCTGGAGAGCTTGGAGTCAGAGCTGAACAATGTGGAACCGGACACCACGCCGGCCTATCAGGACAGACAAAAGGTATGTGTGTGTGTGTGTGTGTGTGTCTGTCTGTCTGTCTGTCTGTCTGTCTCTGGAGCTAGACCCTGTGTGTCTGTGTGTAGGAGCTGAAATGCGTTTCGGCGGAGAAGCGGCTCATTCTGGACACGGTGAACGAGGTGGGCAACGCTCTGCTGGACCTGGTGCCCTGGCGTGCTCGCGAGGGGCTCGACCGTCTGGTCGCCGACGCCAACCAGCGCTACCGGCAAGCCGACGAAACCATCACCCAGCGCGTGCAGCTGGTGCAGGCCGCCATCCAAAGGTCACAGCAGGTACTGCATCTCACACAGCCACCTTAATCCGAAATGTCCCCCGTTTTCTGCGGGCACTACTGACCCCTCTCATTCCCTCCCTCGTTCGCTCGCACCTGTTGTTCCTGCCTCCCCTGTCTGGATGTTAGTACGAGGAGGCCGTGGATGCGGAATTGGCCTGGGTGGGTGAGACGGAGCGCAAGCTTGCCTCCCTGGGGCCACTGAGTTTGGAGCCCGATGTGACTGTGGCTCAGATGCAGGTGCAACGCGCCTTCAACATCGACATCATCCGGCACCGCGACACCATGGAGCAGCTGCTGCGCACGCAGCCTGATGTGCTGGAGGCATGCAACGAGCCGCAGAGGGACTCCCTCAAGGTGAGGGGGCCCCAAGGCAGGGCAGGGGGGCCCTGAGGATGTGGTATGAGGGCAGGGGGCCACTGGTCCTGCATTCGGATCCTTCAGATTATCCCCAACCTTGGAAAAAGACACATTTTGTGAAGCCATAAGGTGTTTTGCTTCCCTCTGGATGCGCGTATTCAGTGGGGGAAGGAGGAGGGGCAGTCTGCCATTCTAAGCCTTCACTTGTATGGATCCCAATTGTCCGCTCCGGCCCTCACAGGCCAAGACTGAGTCCCTGCACGCGCGCTTTGAGGCGGTCAGCCAGAGCCACGCTGAGCGCTTCTCGGCGCTGGAGCAGGCCCAGGTGCTCGTGGGCCGCTTCTGGGAGACGCACGACGAGCTGGAGCCCTGGCTGGGCGAGACTGAGGCGCTGATCGCCCAGCTCCCGCCGCCCGCCATCGACTCAGAGACTCTGCGGCTGCAGCAGGACCAGATGCGGGTGAGAGGGGTCGGGGGGGCAGAGAGGAGGGCTGGCCGTAACAGTTAAATGGGGTGCATACAGGGGTGGAGCCACAGGGGTACTGGGCCCAGCTGAAAGCTGATTGGCCCCATCCCCTGTCACTCACTGATTCACAACATACTACTGGCTAATGATAAGGTCAGCCCTTTTGTATGAATTATGGCCCCTCTTATGCCTTATGCTCCACCTCCTTAAGCTTCTGGTTAAAAATACCAGATTTTTTTTTAAAAAAGAAAAAGACTAGTGCTGTAAAACCCTAAGGGTGGGCTCTCTGTTTTAACTGTTTCCCCCCCCCACCACCCCCCCCCCCCCCACTGCCCCCCTCCCCCAGCTTCTGAGGGAGTCCATCGCCGAGCACAAGCCCCACATTGACAAGCTGCTGAAGATCGGCCCCCAACTGGCCGAGCTGAGCGCCCAGGAGGGGGCATCGGTGAGACGGCGCTTTGCTGACACAGAGAGCCGCTACCAGGCCATCAAGGAGGAGGTCAAGGCCCGGGCCGCCGCCCTGGACGAGGCCGTGTCGCAATCTGCGCAGGTGCGCCCCCTGCCTGCCGCTGCATGCCTGCCTGCCTGACTCAGCCTGCATGCACACGCACACACACTCACTCACTGTGGAGCATTCTGTCTTATTTACTGACTTTAATGTCAAATCCAGTGTTTCCTAATCCATTCCTCGAGGGCCCTCAGATAGTCCCCGTTTTTGCTCCCTCCCAGCTCCTTCGCAAAAATGTGGACTGTCTGGCTAGGAGCTGGGAGGGAGCAAAAACCTGGACCGTCTGTGGTTCCCCGAGGACCGGCATGGGAAACACTGCTCTAATTTGTTATATAAAGTATTTAAAGTTATTTAAAATTTATGTGATGAAGTTTTTTTGCTCTGAGAAGCGCCCCCCCCCCCCCCCCCCCCCCCCCATCATGCACTGCTGCAAACCCATAATCTCCCAGCCTGGCAGTCCGTGGTCTCTGCTTCTGATATCAGTAAGTCCCTCAGGCCTCCTTCACATGTGTGTTTCCATGTGCCTTGCGCTTGGTTATCAGCCGCTCAGAGGGCTGCAGCTTGCAGGGTCCTGGTTAGGAAACGGTGAGTCTGCCACAAGCAGAAGAATCTCTCCTTCGCAGCTTTCCAAAGCCCAGTCATTTTGTGGCTCCTCTCTTGCATTGTCCTCCCCCCTCAGTGCCTCTCCGCATTCTCGGTGCTGTCATCACATCAGGCTGCAGTGTGCTGGAGGGGTCGTGCCAGGAGTGGCAGGGTGACGGGCGTGGCAGGTCGAGTGTGGCCTGGCCCTGTGACTCAGCGCAGTCAGGCTGGGTGTGTGTGTGTGTG